TAGCCGTGGCCTGCACATGCTCCAGCGTCTAAAACACCACATTGAAACTTGCAGAGTGGCTGTGGCAACAGTGGAGCACATGGCCGGGGAGGGACGAGAGGAAAGTAAAATATGTGTTTGGCAGGCCTCTCAAAGCAGGAATAGAAAGAAGGCTAGCTTTCCAGAATTGCAAAACCAGCCTAGGAGCCCAAAGCCAAAGGTTTTTAGTTCTTGCGGGAATTATACACATGGGGATTCAGGCATTAGAGGTCAGAAGAAGGGTGAAGGAGATGAGGGAATGGGTTTTTACCAGCCGCCCCTTGAAATCCGGCCAAGTGAGTGAGAGGCCAGAATAGGCAATGAAAACACATGGGCAGTGTGGGCAACCAGAGGGGAATGGATTCAAATTTGCCATCAGATTGTAAGTCAATGTTTTAAGTGTTTCAAGAATGTTTAATAATCTGCACACTGGGGAGATAGGGAGATAGATGGGAAGCAAATCTGGAAGCAACCTACCAACAGTAGAATAGATAAATAAATCACTGTATATTCATAAAATAACATAGCAAAGATGGTGAAGGAGCCAAAGTATATACAAGAAACTCATGCACTTTGTATATAGCACGTTGAGCCGAAAAATCCAGACACAAAACATACTAAGGGTAAGATTGTTTATATAAAAAGCAAAAACTAGGGAAACGAAACAATGTTATTTTAAGTTGGGATTTTGGTTTCCCTTAGTGGGGAGACCAGGTAAGGACCAGGAGGGAATATGAAGGGGGTGTCCGAGGTGCTGGGAGTAGTCTTTTCCTGACATAAGTGCTGGTTTTATGGGGGTGCTCATTCTGTGAAAATTAACTGAGCGCACACTTAGGATGTGTGTGCACCTTCTGCATGTATGTATGCTGTTTGTCAATGAAAAGGTTTTTTTAAAAGGGATACTTCTTTGGTAGCTGAAATTGGAGAGAAGCAGGCTGGCTACAGGATCTGGAGGAAGGAGACTACACGGATTCATTAGCCTCCACTTTCATCAGCCTGCCTAAAACATCGCGCCAAGCAAATTACATATTGCTTGTCACGACAACTTAATGAAATACAGCTTAGCAAACAAAACAAAGCGCTCCCTTGAGAGCCCCCGAAAGCAAATTTCACACACTTCAATCAAGGCTTGAAAGATATAGGCTTCCTTTTCTTCCCATTGGTTTTACTGAGATATAATTGACATATAACATTGCATTCCTTTTAGGCGTGCACCATAATGATTTGCTCACCACAATACATTTAGTTAACAGCCATCACCATATATAGTTATAAATTTTTTCTTGTGATGAAGACTTTTAAGATCGACTCTGAGTGTCAGAGACAAGGCAAAAGGTCTCCAGAACCCTGTGAAAGCCGAGTGTGGCTTTTTCAGGAGACAGTGGGGAGCCAGTGAAAGTCCTCCCTTTCTCTCATCCAAAAGAGAAAGGGAGTTCACACTCATGGAAAACCCATGGACTATGCCAGACGTGCCCTATTTGGAGCTCCCCAACAACTTGATGTTATAAGGGCTGCTGGCCCCATTTCCAGGCAAGGCCGTTAAGGTGCAGAGTGGCTCCATCATGGCCTGTGATTACATGGATGTGAAGTGCTGACAATGGGTCAAAACTACGTTTGCGCCGAAACCGGTTTGGCTCAGTGGATGGAGCGTCGGCCTGCGGACTGAAAGGTCCCGGGTTCGATTCCGGTCAAGGGCATGTACCAGGGTTGCGGGCACATCCCCAGTGGGAGATGTGCAGGAGGCAGCTGATCGATGTTTCTCTCTCATCGATGTTTCTAACTCTCTATCTCTCTCCCTTCCTCTCTGTAAAAATTCAATAAAATATATTTTAAAAAAAAAAAAAAACTACGTTTGCTTCTACAATCCACTCCATATGGTATCCCCCACCAAGCAATTTCATCCTTTTCATCGAAAAGGGGTTTGCTGTTGTGTTTCACAAGGTCTGGCCTCTTCTCCCTCAATTAACCAGCACTCTCTCCTTATTCAAGGCCTCTGTTCTTCCTTCTCTTCAGCTCCTACCATGGTAGCTGCCCATCCATCCCCACAGCATCTCACTCACCCCTCATACATCCCAGCCTTTCAGACTCCAACCCTACTGCTCATATAGCTCCGTCCCTTAGCTTCCCAGTTCCAAATTCCTGAGAAAGGAATCTAATTGGCCCAGGTCATGTTTTTGTCCCAAGTCATAATGGATCACTGGCCAGCCTATGGGGTGGGCCTCCCTTTGGTCAGGTGCCAGCCCAGGCATGACCCTCTGTAACCCTGCCCTCCCTCCCATTCCGCTCCACCCTCTAATCCAGTGGTTCTCAACCTTCTGGCCCTTTAAATACAGCTCCTCATGTTGTGACCCAACCATAAAATTATTTTCATTGCTACTTCATAACTGTAATGTTGCTACTGTTATGAATCGTAATGTAAATATCTGATATGCAGGATGGTCTTAGGCGACCCCTGTGAAAGGGTGGTTCAACTGCCAAAAGGGTTGCAACCACCTGTAAGCAACTTATGTCTCAGGGTCAATTCACAAAGGCTACTCATGGTATGAATAGAACCACTCAGGGAAGCCACTTCTTAAAAACAGCATCCTGAACACCTGCCCAGCCTTGCCTGATACTCATAAACATGACTTGAATGGAGTGGAGTGCCTGCGCCAGGCAAAGAAAGCATTCGCAACAGTACAAAAAATCAGTCTAAAGCCTCTGAGACACCCACCGCTGCCCTGCGGGAGCACTGGCAGGAACACCATGGGTCACCTACAGAATGACCCAGGTGAGCGAAGAAACCAGGGAGCTCCATGTCCCCACTCACAAACTCTCAGTAATGTCTTGCCATGAGGTTGAATGCCAATTAACAAAAGGTCTCTTCCTTTCCCACTAAGAGGATGAGCTTGTGTTAGCAATGAGCCCTCCTTCTGACTTGGAGAACTCAGGAAGGCCTCTGCAGAGCCACCCAAATCAGTAAGGGGTTGGAAAGGCAGGCACATAATGAGGTCAGAGGAAGGGTAGGATTTTAGGTCCTCTTTATAAAGCCTTCATTTTGAATGGAGGGCAGCAGATTTTTAAAGCAGCCTTGTTGAGCTTATATGGACACTTAATAAACTGCATATGTGTATGTAGTGTATAATTTGCTGTTTGACCTATATACACCTATAAAACCATCACCACAATCAAGATAATGAATCTATCCATCACCTCAAGACTACTCATGTCCATTTGTAAACCCCCTCACCCTTCCCACTTCCCTTTCTTGGCAACCACTGATTTTTTCCTGTCACTAGGGTTTGCATTTTCTACTATGTTACTTAAATAGAATCATATTGTATGTACTTGGTTTTCTCTGACTTCTTTTAGCATAATTATTTTGACATTCAATTGTGCTGTTGTGCACATATCAGTGATTCATCCCTTTTTGTTGCTGAGTGGTAATCCATGGTATGACATAACACAATTTGTTCATTCATTCACCTGTGATGGACATGGGGTTTATTCCCAGTTTGGGACGATGACAGCATGAACAGATTTTTGTACTTGTACATTTTCCTCTTGGGAAAATACCTGAGAATGGAATAGCTGAATCATTTGGTAGGCATGTGCTTGAGCATGACCAATTTAATAAAACTTCCTTGTGGGTTTCAGAGTGTCTGCACTGTGTATATTTAGCCTACCAAATAAAGGTACACACAGATCACACAGTAACAAATGGCACTCATACTCAACCATGAGGAAGTTACAGCAGAAGACAGCTTCATTCCAGTTCTCCCAACATCTGGAGAGGGCTTCCAGAGGGGAAAATCTCCCAGGATGACCTTCAACTTTGTAAAATATTCAGTGCACAAGCTCCTGACACTTTAGAAATGGCCCCCACAAGAGCTATGTAGTCTTTCTCCGGGAGAGCCTTTAAATAAGGACAACTGGTCTAGAATAGAACAGTTTCGATCAATACTGAAAGCTGTGGCATGAAGAGCAGGGGTTCTTCAGGGATGGTCCCATCAACATCACCTGGGAACTTATTAGACATGGACATTCTCCCCAGCCCAGACCTTCAGAGTTGAAACTCTGGTCAGGGCCTGGCACTCTGGGCTTTCACTAGCCCTCCAGGTGATGTGATGCATGCTCCAGTTTAAGAAACAGTGACCTTTCAAGCCCTTCGACTCACTCAGAATTAAATACATCAGAAGTCATGATACACCATCACCTCTATTGCCTTGTTCCACCCACACAGCTGCGGAGCCCACCCTCTTAGAATTCTGCAACCCCCTTAGAATTCCGTCAATTTCCTCAAAGACCAAGTTACCAACTGGAATATAAACCTACTCCATGATGGTCATCACTATTTCCCCAAAACACCAAACTAAGAAAAAAAAAATTCTCAGGAATCAGGAACTCAATCATTGAACCATTTATATCCAACTGTCACCCTGGTTCAGTTGGTTGGAGCATTGTCCCACACACCAAAGGTTGTGGGTTCAATTCCCAGTCAGGGCACATACCTAGGTTGCAGTTTTGATCCTCAGTTGGGGCAAGTACGGGAGGCAACCAATCCCTGTTTCTCTCTCATATCTCTCTCTTCTCTCTCTCTCTCTCTCTCTCTCTCTCTCTCTCTATCTCTATCTCTATCTCTATCTCTCTCTCTGTAAATTAAAAAACATATCCTTAGGTGAGGATTTTTTTTTAAATCCAGCTGTCAAAACTACCCATTTCTCTACATGTGGCTTTTACCCTGGCACATTTCAACATAAATGAATCTAAGAAAAGAAAAAGACAAAGATTTTAAGTGATACACCACTCCAATACTCTTTACTGCTCTAGAACCCTCACTGCAATTTTACATATTAGCAGGAAAATTAATCAAATTTGAATAGGAAGACTTAGAGTAAAAATATTGGATACTTTTTCTTTTAATCTTCAGTTTAAGCATGATTTCCGTTCAACATTTTAACTGAAGAGAAGTTCTGATCATTTCCTTGGTATTTTTTTCATGCTTAACATTTCGCCCAGTCTTTGAAAACCTTCTCCAGCTTTTGGCCAAGCAGAACTTTGCCACTTACTTTGAACTTGCCGGCAAGGAAAGCCTTCTGAGGGTTTATTTTACCCAAAACCAACTCCATAAAGACAGGTTCCGGGATTGTGAAGACAGTATCCGCTGGGAGCCTGGCAGATCCTGGATACATGTCGCCAGAGCCATTCTTCAGATCAATGGTCCTCTGCAGGATGGTCTTCCCATCCTTGGTGATGTCCAGCTGGAAGATAGCATTCACTTTCTTTACCATTTGGGCCCCCGCTTCTTTGATGTGTTGGCTAATGTCCTCAAACACAAGGAAGCTCTGGAATTCCGGCAGCTCTAGAGGGTGTGGCGTGGCAGGTTTCGGAGCTGAACCCAGGTCCTTGAACTGACCCACCCGAGGTCCATCCCCGGCTTTGATCTTGGGTTGATGGTCAGTTCTCTTCCACATCTTACTGTGCTGGTCCTCTTGACCTAGTAATCTGGTTTGGGAGCAGCTATGGCCAGATTAATAGCTGCAGGTCAGATTGTGACATCAAAGGTAAGGCCCAAGCAGGGAATGAGGCTGTATTGTGTGTGTTGCAGTATTATTGGCTCATCAGATGCTAACATGTGACATGGGGTGAGGGCTCAGACAGGTAATTATGAGGCAGAGCCACACCACCAAGCCCTAAACCAATCAGAGCTATTGGTCTCACAAGCTCAGAAGGGCCTGGACCCCATGTTGGGAATAAGGGAAACTGACCCCAGAAGGTTCTTTGGTGACACGAGCTCTGTCCTTACAATGCAGGTGTCTCCCAGTAGCAACCTTAGCTGAGAGAACAGTTATTCTGATTCCTTCAAAAGTGGGTAATCCTCAAGCAACAGACTGTGGTGCTGGGTTTGGCTTTAGCTGGCTGCTGGTGGAGGGGTAAATGCTTTTAGAGCAAAAGAGCTAGTTGGAGAAGGAATCGGCACAGGGCCTGCATCAATCAGATAGCTTCCAGAAGCACAGTGAGAGGGAGGAAAAAATAAAAAAGAAATATCCCTAAGATGAACAAAAGTCTCTGCTGGTCTAACATAATAATTGCAGGTAATAATATAATCCTTACTCTGGCACTGTTCCAGGCACTCACTGTACATGTATTAACATTTTGTTGTTGTAAAACTCATCTAAAGGATATATTTTCCATTTATTTTTAGAGAGAGTAAAAGGGAAGGAGGTTGGGGAAAGAGAGAGAGAGAGAGAGAGGAAGAAACATCGATGTAAGAGAGACATACCTATTGGCTGTCTCCCGCATGCACCCAACTGGGACAAGGATCGAACTGAAACCCAGGTACATGCCCTTGACCAAGAATTGAATCCAGACTCTTTACTACGAGGGCCAATGCTCTAACCACTGATAACACTGACCATGGCTGTGTTAACATTTTTAAATCCTCATTACAGCCCTTTGAGGGAGGTACTACTTTTTGTCCCCATTTTACAAATAAGAAAACTGAGGCAGGAAGAAATGATTTGCCCAAAGCCACATAGTTAGTAAGTAGGGTAGCAATGTCTAAACAGAGGTGGAATCACTCTAGACCCCACTTTTAGTCTATCTGATGCTTTCTCATGATTAGAATGAGGGGTTTGGGGCAGGAATGTCACTGAATTGCTGTTGTGCCCTTCTCAGTGCAATATGTCAGGGGGATGTGGTGTCAATATGTCCCATTGCTGGTTATGTTGACCTTGATCACTTGACAAGGTGGTATCTACTAGATTTTTCCACTGTAGTTACTGTTTCTCCCTTTGTAATGAGTAAGTATCTTGTGGGGAGGTACTTTGAGACTTTGCAAATATCCTGTTTCACATCATACTTCAGCTCAGTCTCTTCTGTATCCACCCATGGTCCATCCGTGTGATGTGTGCTAAATGGTCATTTTCTATTCCTGTCACCTTCAGTTTTCACGATTGGAATTCGACTATAAGGAAGAGCTATCCCTTATCCCCCATTTCTTTGTTTGTTCAATTATGTATTTGTTTCAATATGAACTTGTGGATATTTGTTTTATTCTGTGGGTCATAATCTATTATCCTCATTATTTGTTTTCTTGCAAATTGCCCCAGATTTGGTCATGGGAAGCTCCATCCAGCTGGTGCGTGTGTCCTTCCCTCACCATACTGCTGTTATAAGAAGTGAAGATACATTAAATGGAGTTGCTGATAGCTTTTTCTGTCTGGGAGGAATGCAGAAAATAAAAAAAAAGGCTTTGGCACATGTTCTTTGGTACGTGATGGATGAGCTGGTATTATCAATATGGAGCAGTTAAACAAAACCCAGTGGCCTCCGAAACCAAGTCTATTCTGAGAGCGCCAGGTATAGACAATATCTGCATAGAAATCTTAAAGTGAAGAGGCAAGAGCCCTAGCTGGTTTCCTCAATGGTTAGAGTGTCAGCCCTCAGTCCAAAGGATTGAGGGTTCGATTCCTGGTCCAGGGTGCATACCTCAGTTGCAGGTTCCCCAGACCTGGTAGGGGCACATGTAGGAGGCAGCCAATCGATGTGTATCTCTCTCTCCCCCTCCTCCCTCCCTCCCGCTCTCTCTAGAGAAAATATCCTGGGTGAGGATTTTAAAAAAGAAGAGGCAGGCAATTTCCCAGTAAGTTTACTGTGAGCAACCCACAGAAAAATGGGCCCCATCGCCACCCATATCTGCTTTTCCTCAAGGGAGGGTTTGGCCCTTCCACATGATTTAAATAGGTCCCCAAATGGGCTGTCACTCCTGCCTTAGACTGTCAGGGGGGAGCACAGTTCCATAACCCATACATATCGCCTTCATGTTTCTATCTTTTATCAGTGGTATTTCCACTTAAAAAGGAATCCCAGTATGAAAGGCTACAATGCACATGGAAAGGTCCTCAACCTCATTAGTCACTGGGGACATGCAAATTAAAACTACAGTGACTCATCACACACAAATAGTTTTTTGTAACTGTGTATGGTAATGGATGTTATCTAGGCGTCAAATCATTATGTTGTACACCTGAAACTAATAACGTTATATGTCCATTATGCCTCAATTTAAAAAAGATGTTGAGTGATTTTGAGGTGAAGAGAAATAGCACCAACTGGTGATCCCTATCTCCAGACTTTTCTCTCATGTCCCTGCAGGAGCCCAGCTGAAGGGAGCTTTACACTCCCCTCCTGAACTTTCTTCAGCTTCCCAGATGTAGGCTTTTGTATCCTATCCTCTAATTCTATCCAAAACTCTGTTTTTAATTCAAACCTCAGTTTAAACTGTGTCAGCCTCTATCAAGTCCCCTGCCCACCATCACCACCATGTATTAGAATCTACACAAACATCTAGTTGGATATGCTTTTATCCAAGAATTCTTGGGGGTCAGGCACATGCTCAACTGGGGACAGGTGCACAAGTGCAGCCCAAAACAAGCATGGGGCAGCCTCAGAAAGCACTATGGGGTCTGTGGGAGGATCCAATAAACAGTATTTCTCTCCCCTCCTTGAATTCTAAAGAAATTGAAAAATAGGATAAGAAATGGCAGATAGAAACCAAAATGTTGCCTTTATCACTGATAGAAGCATAGATCAAACAAAAGACTTATATGAGACCCCGGTGGGCCTGCCAACTAAACCCCAGAGTGACCCACCTACCTCTCAGCCACCCTCCTGGGAGGGTTCTGCGTGTGAGGCTGGTCAGGAGGGGCCCTCACAGGGAAAATTCTGGGCACGAAGAAGCTCACTTTATACTTCCCAGACTTGCCACTCAAAAAAGTCACCTCAACCAAGCGAGTGAAGAGGTGAAGAGAGTCCAGGAGTGATTTAGGGAGAAATCACTTTGGAGGAAAATCCCTCCTTGAAGAAACCAGAGAATGGAGAAGGCCCTGTCCTCAAACAAATGCTAGTTCTAGGTGAGGTGGGGTGGGGTGGGGTGGGGTGAGGTGGGAGGGTAAATTCAGGGAGCCTGCTCATAGAGCACGATTTTAACTAATAGTCTCTTTTTGTGCTTTAGTTTCTTCTTCCTCCCCCTCCCCACGCACACCCCAGGTTTGTTTATTTTGGTTTTGGGTGTTGTGTTTTGTGGGGGGAGGGGGGGTTGTTTTGTTTTTTTCTTTTTAAATATATTTTCATTGTTAATAGTATTACAGATATCTCCCATCCCCCTCCCCTTTACTCCCTCCTCCCAGACCCTGCATACCCCCCAGGTCTTCATTACCCTGTTGCCTGTCTGTGGTCCCCTCATGTTTTGTTGGGGTTTTTATAACTCAAACCAGGGTTTCTCCCAGCTGCCCTCCCTCCCTCCCAAACCTCTCTGCCCTGGTGGAATGAACACTCCCCTGTCAGTACAGGTGATAAATAATGACTCTGCTTCAATGGTTAGCTTTGTGGCCTATAAACAAAGAGAATATTTAACAATGTAGGTGTCAAAACAGGCTAGCTTGAGTTTGATAAAACAACCTAGACAGTAATAACACGTTTTTCCCAGAGGGAACAGGGTGAGAGGCTGTCAGAATCAAATGGGCAGCAGAAACTAGAAGCTTAGACAGAAAAGATTCTGTAAATAAGAAATTTGAAAATAAGCACTGAGACCAGCACTGCCTATTAGAATTTTCTGAGGTAATGAAAATGTCTGTACCTGTGCTGTCCAGCACTGTAACCACTAGCCACTGTTGAGTACTTGACATACAGCTAGTATGATGAGGAACTGAATTAACTTTATTTAGTTGTAGTAAAGTTAAATAGTCACATATGATTTTCCATCAGCATCCTTCTAACCACTATAAGGAAGTTACATGGGCATCTAGGGGGTGTTGCTTCCATCTTTAATCACCAAATTTCACCAAACTCATATAAAAATCTATTCCTAAAGCCCCCAATTAATGCACTCGAGACTATTACACATGTGGAACAGAGACCAGCTCCCATTGGTGGGATGTGGTTCATGTGTGAGAGCACCGCATTTTTGGACAAAGCTAAAAGCCTAAAGACACACATAATTACTTAAAATAATACTGTTACATTTATCTTTGAATAGGACATAAGCATGTCCAAGTGGGTGATTAGTGGATAACTTCTAAGTTAAATTGTATAAGGTATGATTGCCTAAAAGCCAAGACATTTAATTCCTTCTTACAGGCCTTCCAAATTGTCCCTGATGGGTAAAAGATGTCTTCGTTATCAATTACTGCAACAATGCTGTGTAACAAACCTCCCCTCTACTCACTAATTTTAGCTCATGAATTAATGGACCAGCAATTTAGGATGGTTTCAGCTAGTGATCCTGCTGGTCTCCTCTGGGCTCACTCACAAGTCTGGCAGTTGTCTGACTGTCAGCTGGGTGCCTGGGCCATGTGACACTGGTTCTCCCCCACACAAACCTAAGCACATTGTCATGGTGGGGGCAGGGCATGAGCAAACAATCTAAACTACATGAGTGCTTTTCCAGCCTCTGCTTATACCTATTAGCCCA